CCCTACTGCTGATCCGTGATCCGGTCGTTACTCAGTCGGTTGTACGCTTCGAAGCGTAACAAACATTTGCATATACATCTTTATTATATAGGATTATAGAAGTATACTACATTATAGTTCTTATAAATTATATGAATATATTTATTATATATTAATAAATATAGGGTGTCCCAAAAATGTATATACACATTTTGAATTATTATAAAGGCAGTGTTTATTAAAATAGATTTCATTTTCAAAATTGAGCTATCAGCTGTGACAGTATGTATATATTTTGGGGGGGACACCCTGTATATTAATAGTGTTCAGTTAGTTACTAGTTTATTTCTTTGTTATCTACCCACCCCAATTCCATAATAGTAGGATTTGGGAATCTGGCTCCATTATACCCCCCCGTGCTTAGAAAGGTACCTAGCATATGGTAGACAGTGAATAAATATTTGTTGAATAACTCGCTGAGTAAATGATGCTTCTGGAAGTAGCGAGGTCCCCATCACTGGAGGTTTCTAAGCATCTGACAGGGTCATAGAAAAGCTGTAGGCATAAGCTCAGTCACAAGACGAAAAGACCGTTAAGGTCCCTTGTTTGCACTGTCAATCAATGATGTCATGGCCACCACCCCTTTCTGCTATGCATTGGGAAACGCAAAGGAGCATTCCTCAGTCATTTTCCACCAAATGACAGTATGTGCACCCCTGTTCCTGCTGCAATATCATCTCAGCATTAAAATGTTGAAGCTAATCAGACATTTAATTTCAAAGTGGAAGGTCATTATCTTGTCAAAAAATTTTATTCCAATTACTTTTTCCCTTATTTTATGAAATGAATTAAAAGTAGCACAAAACATTGAGAGATCAAACAGTCAATCAGAAGCTCATTAAATATCATTGAAATTGGTGCAATAAAAAGCATTTCCAATGGCTGACATTTCTTAAAAGCCATATTCTGGATGGCTCAAGAAATTGACATGCTGCCAATCAAAAAATCACCCTGTCCATAAATAGCCACTTCAGTTTTAAAAGTTTACTATCTATTTTTTCTGAAATAAAGAGTAAATATCTACAAGGATTTAAAGCATGCATGCAATTACTATTGTATCAGCCCCTATGAGACCCTAAAGAGAAGATATCAGTAAAGTCACCCTCTGATCATGTAGACCAGCGATTTTCAACCAGTCTTTTTAAAATATGCAATACCTGACTGTTTAGTCAGGTGCACTGACTTCTTTTCCCTTAGATTGTCAAATTTAAAAAATGACAACAGCCAACACAACAATAGCTGTCCGGTACGAATGAATCAAAATTATGCCTATATTTTTCAGATCGGCAAAAAATATACTTTTTGGTGTGCTGCAGAATTTTAGTAGTTTATATATGCCATGAAAAAGGTTGAAAATCACTGATTTAGACTATAAGCTTACAAAGTGCTACCAGTGATTTTATAAACATTTCAATGCATAGCATTTATATATAATACTCAACTAAGTAAAATACCAGGCAGGAATTAGTAAATCAGTTACATTTTTTTAATTGAGTTCAACTCCACACTTGGAATAAATACCCATTTTCTTTTCAAAAGAGTGATTATTAAGCACTTCATTTTTCTATGGGTCCAGACATAAGTGACTGCTAGCATGAGGATCTGACAGCTGATCATTTTTAAATTTCTTATATATTTTTTCCTCTAGGAGCCCGCCACCCACTCTCCCACCCCCACACTTTTTTAAAAAGCTAGATCACTAATTTTAGCATTTAGTTTTATAGAAACAACCACTTTTTGATATACAGGATGGCAGGTCCTTTCAGTTGGAAAAAGATAACAGAAGTATTATTCCCAGTCTCTTACGGTGATTTAAGTGATGAAGATGATATAAGTTAAAAATGCATAAGCAAAAGAGGAAGCTCCAGGGATAGGAAATTACTTCTTCAGTAAAAATTCTAACATCCCCCCCCCCACTCCCCCCCCCTACACACACACACACACACACACACACTGCCACTACCCTGATTTCTTTTCAAAAGCCTGGACTTACTGGCAAATTATCTGGGAGTAAAGTGGGAGGGTAACATTTCAATGCAAAATTTAGAACTGCTTTATAGAAAGAAAAGTGTGGGGAGGTTTGTTATCATTTATTTCCTCCAGTACATCATTCAATTTCAGCTGTCTCACGTCTCAGAAGCAGCTCCCCCATTTCTCACTTATGTGCCTAAGAAACATCTTCCTGGCATCTCATTCTCTCTCCCTGTCTTTCACCAGCATTTCATTATTTTTTTAACTGTCCCTCTCATGCTTGTCTCCCTTTTTCCCAGTGATCCACGTGTCCTCATTTAGCAGATTTCAGAAGCCAGGGAGAAACGCTGCAAATAATGTTAAATATGATTAATATCTTGAATTCCTTGAAATATGACATGCATGAGTTACAATGAAACCTCTTTTATTTCCCCATGAAATGCTTTTGCATAATGAGAAAGAAAATGTCCTCTATGCCCTAATCAGCCCTGACAGTTCCTGGACTCCCAAATACTTTTATTTATGGCATTATTTATTTCATCTCTACTAAATGGAGGTTGGGTAGGAACCACAGCACGATCTGAGGTTGCAGGAGAAAGGGAGACTAACCAGGGTGGAGGAACACAGAGGCTGAGTCAGGAAAGAGAGAGCAGGCTTCCAAACAAGGGAGGAGCTGTGGGAAATGAGAAGCCAAAGACCTGAACCCCCAGAAAGAGAAAATGGGTCATTCCCCAAGACTAAAAGGAAAGCTATGAAAACCAACCTAACTTCCCAGTGGAAAGATGCGGGTCATACATCACGGAGATGTGCCCAAAATTCCAACCTGGAGAATGAAGATCCAAGGCTGGGAAAACAAACCTGGGGGAGGGTATGCTGGCATTGGAGTTGACTAGGGGAAGGGGCATTTGCTCTAAAAAGTGGCTGTGAGACATCTCTAGCCCCCTGGGATCCCCCTCCAAACCACAGAGGCCCTTCTCTCATCGGTGTCCTCCAGAAACCGTGGCCTGGTGGCCCCAGATGCAGAGAGGAACTGCTTGCAGAGTGAGAGCTCTCGGGCCAACTTGGCCCCACAAGCACATATACATATATAGGGTGTCCCCCAAAATGTATACACACACTTTGGGAATAATTATAAAGGTAATGTTTTATTAAAACACATTTCATTTTCAAAAAGGGAGAGTATCAGCTGTTAAAGTGTGTATACTTGGGGAGGTGGGGGGAACACCCTGTATATCAAATAACATTTTTGAAAGTATCTAATCACCATCCCAAAGGGAAGTGTCAGGTCATATTTTACCCTCAATTGCACAGAGAGTCTATCTGCTGTGTAAAGAAGTGAGGATTTGCATTCAAACGATCTAGCTGCACTTGTGTGGCTTTGAGCTTTTTTCTTGAGGAGCCTCGGTTTTCCCATCTGTAGAATGGGGAAAATGATTCTGCTATGCACTCTCAGGGCCCCTACAGAGAACTAACGAAATCAGGTGAAAATGCAACGCCCTGCGCAATCTTAGGATCAGCATGAACTCCAAGGCCCCTTTGCTGGGTGTGGGCAGAACCCTGGGCGTGCAAACCACGCTCAGCAACCTGGGTCAGGACCTTAAACGCGCTGAAGCCTGGGGGGAGGGGGCTCATTCCCGACCCTGGGAACCGGCTGTAATACCTTCCCGAGGCACGCACGCACGCACACACGCACTCTAGCCACCCCGCCCCGTCCGTCCCAACTACCACCAGCCACGCCGTGCAACGCCAGGAGTTTAGGGTGGTGCAGGGGGTGCCAGGAGCTACTTTCCAAAACTGGACGCCGCCAGCAGCCCAAGCCTCGCTTCTTCACCTGGGACTCCGAAGTCTCTCCGAGGCTGAAACCTCCCCGCCGCCAGGTCGCCCTCGGGGTCCCAACTGTCCCCTCCCCCTCCCCCTCCACCCCGTCGAAGGCGCACCCCGCGGGCGGCGGCGGCGCCAGGCCCCGCCCCCTCCCCCATGATCATTAGCAGCTATTACCCTAAACACTTGCTCCTGACTTCCTTTCTCCCTCCAGGCATTGGCGAGGCGGCCTGTCAATCAGCTCTCGGGCGGCAGCCCCCCGCGCGGGGGCTCAGCGATGCCAGGCTTGGCGACAGGCGGCAGTGACGGCGGCGGCGGCCACGGCACAGACACACACCCTCCCGCACGCGCGCGCTCGGGCAGCGCCGGCGGACGGGCGGCGGAGGCACCCTCGGAGCCCGGCGCGGGGCGGGGAGGGGGCGTGCGGCCGGGGACGGGCCCCGAGGCGCCGCATGGAGGAAGACATGCAGCCCGCGGAGGAGGGGCCCAGCGTCCCCAAAATCTACAAGCAGCGCAGCCCCTACAGCGTCCTCAAGACGTTCCCCGGCAAGAGACCGGCGCTGGCCAAGCGCTACGAGAGACCCACCCTGGTGGAGCTGCCGCACGTCCGGCCGCCCCCGCCGCCCTTCGCGACGCGCGCCGCCGTCTCCATCAGCAGCAGCGAGCCGCCGCCGCCGCCGTTCCCGGCGCAGAGCACCTACCCCCCCGGGGCCCGGCCGGGGCGGCCGCCGCCGCCGCCCCCTCTTCGTCATCGCCTTCCGCCGGCCTCCCCAGGGCCCACCTGCGGAACTCCCGCCGCCCCCCGCCGCAATCCTCATCCTTCGTCTTATCCCCCCCCGTCCTTCCGGGTACGGACTCCGGGCCGGACGGCCGATGCGGGACAGTAACAAGCTCCGGGCAGTGAC